CTTATGATGTGCTAACAGGTAAAGATATGCTGCCAGTATTCACAAAATTTATGCAAGAATTGGATCGGTGTAAACTAATATTTAATTCAGTATCACACAATTGCAAGACTGCTGGTTGGTACAAATGTTGAATGATTTCATACTTCTATGATGCATACAGAAAATGTCCTAATCTTATGATGAGCTAACAGGTAAAGATATGATGCCAAGCAAAAATAGCCTGGCTAACTCCTTTCATGTTTAGTTTCATATAAAATATGTACTAATTCATTTCATCGAATCAAGAGATGTTTCATAAATAGTCATCATAAAAGGACCCTAAGATTCAAAAAAAGGTTACTCTTCAGTTTCTCTTGATTGTAAAGATGATTATGACACCTTCGGTCTAGCTGTTTAGTATACGAACTATAATCAATTTCAGAAGTTCATTGATGAAATATGCTAGACTTAGTTAGGATTACACTAGGCTGTATATCAGTATCTAATGCATCATAAGTACAGTAAGTTTCTTCACAAGTGTCATAATGATTCAAAATATACAGAACAGGAAACTGAATGGATAAAAGAAACCCGAAACAGTCCTCACTGTACTCTTGAGTAGATTTTCCTTTCAAGCGCTATGCTAAAGACCAGAGTGCATGCAAATTAGCATCTTGTATGAATCAGAGTAAACCTCGCAAAAAAGTAAGCATCCTAACAAGCATACTATGTTATGATTATTCAAATGTAAATGCAGGAAGAAGCAGTGAGTTGCACTGTTCTACAAAATGTTTTTCCTTCATTTACGGTATATAAATCTTATTTATTATCGTTGATAATCCATTAAAATGACAGCATGCGGCATCGACACAGAAATTAAACACCACAACAGAATTCCACATTCAGTGACCAACAAGGAACTTGCTAGATCAAATTATTAACCAAATCGTACACTAAAAGCATTGCAGTTTGGTTATCATTCATCATTACAATAAAAAAAGCAGTCAAAATCAAGAAACGTAAACTGCACACAAGATGTAGACCTAAAAACGGGCAGATTCAGAAGACACTTCAAAGAAGCGGGTGACACGATCGCAATTTCTTCATCAAAAATGTAAATTGGAAAGAGAATCTAGATTCATATTTTAAGCGCAGATTATGAATGCAGCGCATACGACAAAAAGAAAGATTAAAGCTTTAATTTCCCATTTCCTCCGCCGCAGAAATCACGTTTATGTTCCTGAACAACAAGCCGCCTACGGTTGCCTAATCCAGCTGGAGAGATGCGTCGGTAAAAGTTGGAGGAAATAGATCTACACTTACGTTGCTCCCCTTCCAGACCTGGTACACTCTCGGGGCCTCCGCGCCCGCTGCGCCTGCGGCGGCGAGATCCGGACCCCGAGGAGGCGGGACAACATACATTGGTCCTCACAGGCGCCTCTAAACCACCTCCCTCCACCCTCCGTAGAAACCTCGGTTCAGCACCAAACCGTCCGCCGGCACCCTAGCGTTCCAACTCGCCCCGTGCCAGAAACAGCCACCGCATCCGGCACTCGCCTCCTCCGCTACGAGTGGTTCCGCTGCTCCACCGCCGGCCACGGCCGCGTCTGGTGGTTCGCTCTTGAGCCTCCGACGAGATCACCAGAGAGATCGCGTAGAGAGAGGCAGGAGGAGGAGGAAGCGGAGGGGAAGCGTTTCTCCTTCGCTATTTTGCGTTGGGTTGGGGCACAGCTGTTCTGATATAAACAGAAAACAGGAACCCCTTGAGATCCCGAGCGACCGCCATGTGGTGAGACAGCGAGCAGGATCGCCTTTCGGGAATCATTTCTAGCGCAGGGGGGAATCAAAGCCATCCAACTTCTAACTATATTATTTAATATCCTTCCCAACTCCCATCGTGCCAACTGTTATCATCATTCTCATCACATTGTATTATTCTTTTCTGTCGTGCAATTACATATGATTATTTCTGTATCAATCTTGGCCAAAGTTTTCAAGTAAGGTATACTTACTTTTAGATTGGAATACAACCTAAAGTTTTCATATTAATTACAATTGTATCTATTGAAGCTAAAGTAAGCTAACGTATCAAATTCAATCTATATTCTGCAAAGGTATATTTTTATATTTGATCTTAAAAAGATAGCATGTTATGTGAAGATTTTGTAGGGAGAGTGATTTATAATATTCTATAGGAAAAGATAGTTTATAATTAACTCAAGCTGTCTTTTGAACTCCCATTTGCATGAGTAAGTGGGTAAGAGTCATTTAGGTTTTGTCCTTTGTGGTGCTTGTATAGCAGGTGATGATTAATTGATTATATATTTTTTATTATTTATCCTTTTTACAGAGTGAGGAACCAAGTGTTTATAAACCTCTAACATCATTCTTACCCTCAAATATGTCTTTAGGAGCTCATTCAAAAGGGGTAAAGATATACAGACTCATCCAAAATAAATAATTCCTCACGAGTCATAAACCCTTGACTTTATTTTACTAGAGGGGCACTAATAAAAATATTTAGTTCCATTAAAAAGTAAGAAAATCAAAAACTTATATGCCTTTGGCATCACCCTTATCGTTAAAAGTGATTTTTTGGTTCATCTTAAAGGGAAAAATTGTATGTTTTTATGAGTCCTTGTGTACTATCTAATATATTATTTTATATAATCGTTATCAAAAATAGATAATGATATGATGAAGACAGTGGGCCTGGCGATGTCCATGTCCAACGAAGCCCATCACTGCAATAATATAGCAAATAATATGCATGATTAAACCGACTCAGTAATATAGTGAGTTATTCGATTTATTAATATATTATTGTATGATTGATAGTTCTCTCGAATCGATATGTAAACGTTATCTACACTTTTTAATATAATAAAAAAAATTCTTAAAAAAATGGATATATCTTTGACTTACGTTTTGGACTGTTATGCTTGTTTTTTATTGCCAAGATTGTGAATGTGTCCTTCCAAAGTTGAGTCCATGATCTATGTCTCTTAAAAAGGTTACTGCATTATGAGCTACACTCGGACTGTTATGCATGTACTTGTTTTTTTTTTTTTTTTATCTTTTTTATAATATAATATATTTTAGCTGTAATTCTCTTTTTTTTAACATCTCCTGTAATATAAGGAAATGAAAGTAATCAATAATGTTAATATAAAATATTATATATATATATATATATATACATGCGTGTGCGTGTTTATTTGGGAACGATATCAAAAATAATTAAATTAGTTTAATATAATTCTAATCTATGTGGTTAGAAAGATCTAGACATTTGAACTGATATCTATATAAAGATCGAAGTCGGATAGAATTTTTTAACGCTTAAGTTAATAATAAAAATAAGATAAAGATCAAAGTAAATAATATTTAATCTTAAATTAAGGTGATACGATGGGTGTTTCATTATTAATCCAATTTGAAAAAATATTCTAAAGCTTATTAGGAGATAACAAGACGTCTTCTTGTAGTTGGTGGGATCGTTTCTTTCTCTAAGCCTTAGAGAGATATTTCCTAATGCAGCAGTCAAAATAATGCCATAATGCAATGCTGGAGGATAAGCACAGCAACCGATGCACAGCTTTCCGAGGAGCCCATAGTGTCAACTGCATTCTCCATATCTTATTCCTGGAACTCATGGCCACCTCCGTGGCACTGCATCATCCTTGACGAGGACGAGAATAATGCGCAACAGCCCCCCTCAAATAATGTCTGTCACATGTAGGGTTTGATAATTATGTAGAACAGCTCTCCCACCTTCTCCTGTGAAAATGGATTGTCCACAAAGCAGATAAGCTACATCGCTCTCTCTCTCGTGCGCGTCCACCAAAATGTGTAGCGGACAGCAGGGATGACACCAACTGATGGAGCTGCTCCAGTCGAGACAAAGCACCAAATTGTTTTTGTTGTGAGCTGCTCCATCATTCACCAAATGATGGAGCTCTGACATAAGGCAACTTTACTCAACTTGAACATTCAAATCATGTTGCTGATGTATGTCTCTGTAAAGGATGTTGTGACCTTAAGGTGCAGATACAGCCATCCCCAGATGGCCTGAAATGGAGGTGAGATGGAACTTGCAACTGTGGAAGGTATTGATGTTACCAATTGGAAGGATATGAGAAAGGAAGCTATTTAAGTGGTTTAAATCACCAACAAACACCTTAGAGTTGATATTATACTTTCTCATATACTATACGTGGAAGCACAATCATCCATTCATGTTAGATCTGTGAGAGGGGATAGATATATCCTTAAATAATTTCTAGGGTAATTAAATCCACCTAAGTAGTAGAAGGTCTGATCTCTAGTTCTCTCACCATCAAAACTTCAAAAGCCAACCTAACTAAATAGGATATTTTTTCCGTGCAAATTTATGATAAAAAAATCATAATTTTTTAGATAAATTTAATTAATTTTAATTCTTGTATTTATGTCTTACATCTTTATTCTTAGGTCATACAATATGTCATCTCGTTGTCACGGATATATTACTCACTTGTTGAACTTTATAGTTTATCTTATTGTTATATAATTTTTTTAGATTAACTTGTCCGAGTTGAGGTAATGGAATAATACTAAACAAGTTTAGGTAAGTTTTTTATGATTTGACATGATGTTGTTATAAAAATACAACTTGTTTCTAATATTATTCAAACAAATCCAAATCGATATATGTAAAGGTTAAAGACCTTACTATTGTTTGAAAGTTTAGAATGCATGAAATTTTATGGTGATATAAACTTATGATAAATGGTTGATTTTATGATTATAGTAATTCTTGCTCATATGGGTTTATAAATGGTTGTTAATGAATTTTGAGTTTGACTTTGAGTTTAATTGAGTGATTGAATGATGTATTGCATGATTATAAATTATACAAGTTGAACGAGAATTTAATACTCATAATGTTATCAATTTTTATGTCATCGATCCTTGGTTTAGATTACGGATGATCCATAATTTTATTGATTTAAAATAAGTTCACACCTCTTAAATACTATTTAAGGGTGTAATAGAGATGATATAAACTCAAGCATAAATCTCCGCACATATTCATTTTTTACATCAATTTTTTTTTTCAAATTATCTCGATGTATCTTTTAGAGAAAAATCTAAAGACAATCAAATATAAATATTTATCCTCACTCCCATTGGAGACCTATGAAGAATTTATAAATTAATCAAATCTTAAATTTCAAAATAAGTCATTTCCATGTTAAGATTTTTCATCCTCTAAAAATATTGTCCGTCCAAAATACTTGTTAGAGCCCTACAAATTTTATCTATATTTTTTATTATAGTTAATATTGTATCTTGATTCTGACTATATCACTTCAAGCTTATCTTTTTGAAGCTGATCTATCAACCCATTTATGATCTTGAATTAACACTTTCAAGATTTATTCACATATCAGGATCCCTTGTTAATTTCACGAGACATGAGATCATCGATGAGAGAGAGTGAGAGAGCTAGGGAGAGAAAGAATCCAAGGGCGGCCGACAAAGAGAGAAAGAGAGAGAGAGAGAGAGAATGGAAGGGTGGCCAACTCGTAAATCCAAGAACGGGTTATTGGCGCGTTAATTACTGTTACAGCGGATCACGTCCTGTGTCATCGGGTCAAACCTCGACATGCACGCGCCAACAGACGCCACCGCGATGTCAGCGGACCGGACCGTCGCTCTGCATCAAGATTCGCGCATGCATCCACCCAACATGGCGTGGCACCAGGTCACGCGGCTTCCAGCTCCGCACAATACACGCATCTACGGATAAGATCCGGTGTCGCAAGGGAGGTGGGTGTCGGAGACACGCAACCTTCCGGCCGCTTCCCTCATGGCCTTTAAAGCGCCCCCGGACTCTCCTCCGCACCTGTGCTTCACCGGTTTCACGATACCTAAAGCACGTCGGTTTCGTGGTCCGACTGGGTTAACGATGGCTCTCAAGGCCGTCCACGTGACCGACGTCCCCAACCTCGACCAGGTCCCGGTGAACCCCTCCATCCCCAGGGCCGCGAGAGGGTTCGTGTTGGTGGGGCACCGTGGGAAGGGGATGAACGCGCTGGGTTCGACGGACCGGAGAATGAGGGCGGTGAAGGAGAACTCCCTCCTCTCCTTCAACCGCGCCGCCCTCTTCCCCATCGACTTCGTCGAGTTCGACGTCCAGGTACAATTAGTCACCCCCCTTCTCCCCTCTCTCCCTCCCCGCCGTTACTTCGGCCGGTAGTCCCTCCGTCGTCGGCATCGTGGCACGCGGCTCGTGGAACCGAACCGGCGATTAATCGCCTTGTGGGGCCGCCGATTTATTTTTTTCTTGGTCTTCTTTATATCTTCGACTCCTCCGTCGATTTCTCGACGGCAATGCAGTGGAAATATAGATTTGGCGTCGATGGGTTAGCAGATTTCTCTCTCGATTCATATATATAGATTTTAGCACTCCGATTTTTAGGTACTGATTTATGCGTTCTTTTTTTTTGGGGGGTTTTCTTCGAAAATAAAAAAGGAATAGTGTGGGTGAGGCTGAGACTACTGTAGAAGAGAACCATGAAGTGTCATTTTTTGTAGGTGACCAAAGACGACGTCCCCATCATCTTCCATGACGACAAAATCCTCACCGAAGATGCTGTATGTATCTTCTTCCATGTCTGTCTTCCTCGCTTTAAATCATTGTTATATCTTCTTCCGGCTATGGATCAATGCAGGGTAAGATCTTGGAGAAGCACGTCACGGATCTTTACCTGGAAGAATTCCTTTCGTACGGGCCTCAGAGAGAGCCCGGCAAGGTCTGCTTCTTGAACGAGATCCGACAGCGATGAGTTCGCTCTTGCATCAATGTAAATGGCATGTAATTGATGTCGTTCCAGGTGGGGAAATCGTTGCTCAGAAGGACCAAGGACGGGCGGGTTTTGAGCTGGAACGTGGAGGACGACGACTCCCTCTGCACATTGCAGGAAGCGTTCGAGAAAGTTGATTCTCGTTTGGGCTTCAACATCGAGCTCAAATTCGTTGACCACGCGGTGTACCAGCTGGAAGATCTTACTCACGCTCTTGAGGCCGTCTTGAAGGTCTGCTCTAATTAACCTGTCCAAATGGGTTGGATCAGCAACGTAACGTGTTCTTGACTTGGCTGCTGCTCATCAGGTTGTGCACAAGCACGCAAACTGCAGGCCCATCATCTTCTCCACCTTCCAACCTGATGCAGCACAGCTGCTGAGGAAACTTCAATCGGCTCACCCTGTAACTATTATTCTACTGCATTCAACAACAGGTTTAGGATGGAAAACATAGCTCATGTTTCTTACAAACCAGGTCTTCTTTCTCACCAATGGAGGCACCGAAACATTTGATGACGTGAGAAGGAACTCACTGGATGAGGCTATCAAGCTGTGCCTGGAAGGTGGCCTGCAAGGCATCGTCTCAGAAGTGAGAGGAGTGTTCAGAACCCCATCGACAGTGTCAAGAATCAAAGAATCCAACCTTTCCCTGCTAACTTATGGCCAGCTGAAGTATGCTCGGCGATTCATTCCTTGGTTTAAGATTGCTGATCTGAACTTGATCCTTAACCCTGTCTCATTTTTGCTGCAGCAATGTTCCTGAAGCCGTCTACTTGCAGCATCTAATGGGAATCGATGGTGTGATCGTCGATCTCGTCGACGAGATAACAGAGGCCGTTTCGGATCTTACCAAACCAGCTTCAGCTCATGAAGGAGGTGAAAGCTTCTCCGGTTCGCTAGAACAGAGACAAAGACCCAACTTCTCGCAGCAGGAGCTCTCGTTCCTGCTCAAGCTTATACCTGAGCTGGTGCAGCATTAATGGAGTCACAATAGGAAATTGTATTAGAAATTATCCACACAAATGAAACAATGGAGATGAAAAGCTCCAAGAAAAAGAATCCTCATTGCACTGCTCTCCAACTGCGATGATTTGGTGTCACAATTCATCATCCATTTTTGGTGTCTTTAATGCCCTAAAATATATCATTAATTCACAAGAAAAAGATGAGAAACGAATGAATGATATTAAAATATATCGAATCGGATGAAGGCATGTATCTTAAGCCCATCAGTGACGAGCAAGATGAAGGCAGATTCAACCTGAACTTGGAATACATTTCAAGCCAATCTCAAATTTGAGTTGCGAGAACTCAGTCGACGCCAGAAGTCTTTATCTTTCAATTGGTGACGGACGGTGTACACTCCAATATTAAAAGATGATATAGGAAATTAGATTAAAAGAAACAAAAAAAAGATAAATTAATTGTGTTGTCGAATACATAAACACAAATATCTTTGGCCATCAAAATGTACTAAAAATAATACATAAAAAGTTTTTTTTATATATGGGCAAATTCCTTAAAAAACTCTCTTTTTTAGCTTTTCTCAATAAGTTTCCTCATTTTCATAATTCTATAATAGCACCATTTTTTCTCCAATAGCTTTTCCCATTTTTCTCAATTTATCATTTTATTATTTTTTCTCTTTTTTTTACCATTTTTACTACATATTTTATTACTACCTTATTATTTTACTACATATTTTATTATTTTATAACTCTCTTTTTTTCTATTAATCAATCCAATTATAATATTTTAAATAATACTAAAAAATCATAATGCAGTACAAAAACACAATGCTACAATATTATTTTCCTAGTATTTGTTGAAAATATTATTTTTATATTATGATAATATATTTTTGAGATATATATATATATATATATACCATTTCCAGTATATTATTCCCATCAAGATCGTCAGCGGCGGCGTACTCTTTCCTCGTTACGTTACGTAACGTCGCCGTCCCCAATCTCTTCGCTCCTTTTCCTCCTCTTCTCACTTCACGCCGCCTTCGATTTCGAGGTACTCTTTGTCCTCTGCTCCACTCTTGATTCCCTACGCTCATAGCTGTGTCCGTTCATCTCTTTTACCTTTTATTTTGGTGCCGACTCCAAAGTCGAAGAGCCAAGGGACTGAGATCTTATAGCCCTTCGTGGATTTCTTGTCCGTACTAATCTCCCCCTTCTTGTTTCTTAAGACTGATCGCATTGCATATCCAAAGCAAAGGTGGTCTCTTGTTGTGCCTTTGGGCGTCTATTACGATGAATCGGAAATGATTTTTCTTTCTCGGTCCTTCGATTGATAGGAAGATGTGGGGGATCGCGCGGCGGAAGGTCGGATATGGACTCCTTGTTATGTCGTTTCATGTGTCTCCGCTTTTGTTTTTGGTTGTTGGATTGGTGACATGACTCTCTTTTCTCACATTAAAAATATGTTTTTTCTTTGTTTTTTGTATTTGTCTCTTTGAGAACCTTGGGCAGGCATTGCAGAAGGTTCTGCCTGCAGGATCGGTTTCGCAGAAGAAGTACACGACAGCAGCAAAAGAGGTAATGTTTTATACTTAATTCTTTTATTTGCATTTTCAGCTGATCAGTCAGAAAGAGGTGGCGATGATCTACTGTGAAGTACTGACTTGTATTTTCTGTGGTTTCTAGCATTACCAATTTACGGTTTTCCATCGTGTTTAATACTCTTGTTCTTTTGGGTTCTATTATTATCTTTGGCTTTAATATGCAGAATTTTCACGTAAATATTGTTATGTCAGTTACTTTTAGGTCAGTCTTTTAAAACCTGTTTTAATCTGACTATTAGATTAGATCGAATCTTCACTTCCTAAAGGGGCATATAACATTTGCTTAAACATTCTGTACAACCAGAACAAATATGTATTTTTGTTAGCTTAGATCACAGATAACTACAAAATCTCGGTGCTATGCTGTTTATTATTTATTAATCTTTGTCCTTGCTTTTGAACAGCATTTATGGAAGAACACACAACCTTATCTTATGCATCTCTTTCTCACAGATGACGGTGCGTGAAGCACTTAACTCTGCGCTTGATGAGGAGATGTCAGCAGATCACAGTTTTCTTGATGGGTGAAGAGGTAAAACATTGAAAATGGTTGTTGAGAATTTTGGTTTCTTGTGTTTCTTTTCTTGTTCTAACAAATCATTTACCTTGTTAGGTTGGAGAGTACCAGGGTGCCTGTAAGGTTGGACTGTAGCTTTGCATTTGGGAGTTTCTCCATCTTTTATTAACTATCCTGCACATGTTTTTGTTTCAACAAAGTGATGTCACTACCTCATCAATTGTCTATGATTGTAGATATCCAAGGGTCTTCTCGAGAAATATGGTCCTGATAGAGTAATCGATACTCCAATTACAGAGGTTTGCATAATGCATTTATTTTCTCCTTTTCAATGTACGTTTATTGCTTTATATTACCTCTTAATGTAGACATCTCTATTCTTAATCTAAATTGTATTTTCTGGTTGCAAGTTAGACATCTCTATTCTTAATGTAGACATCTCTATTCTTAATCTAAATATATCCATCTCATATATTTATCCGTGTTTGTAGGCTGGATTTGCAGGGATTGGTGTTGGTGCAGCTTACTATGGTCTTCGGCCTGTTGTAAAATTTATGATATTTAACTTCTCTATGCAGGTTAGAGTTGCTATTTCATATTCTACACAGTTGACTGTTTGTCAGTGATTCATTCCTGTCACATTATTGTTGAAATCATGGTAAGAATGGTCTGAACAAAGGTGTCCAAGTTACACTGTATCAAGAGTTAGGTTATCACTTGGCTGATCATCTGGGAAAATATTTTTCTAAATGATGAATGCTGATCAAAATGGCCATGGTTCTTATCTAATCTATCTAGGCTTAATAGGGAAGTCTAATTCAACTTTATGTGGATGAGTTGACATATGTTGTAATCTTCATAGTTGAGTAATATATAGATATAAATGTTGCAGAAAAGGTTCTCAGTATTTACATGCATGTGTACGTTCATGGTTGAGTTTTCCTTGATGACCATAACAAATCACTATGATGGATTGAGTTAATTTTTCACTTAGTTTCACATAGCAAATAAATATATGACTAAGTTTCAAAATTTGGGAAAAATGGAGACTCAAGAAAAATTGAAATAGTTTTATTGTGTCACTGGTTATCAAAATTGCACTGCATGGTTGCAGATATCACTAACAAATATCTCAAAACTTACAACCATGAGAAACTATGAGGAGGGTCATATGGGTACTTTGCTAATGATACAATTGTTGTTGTGTGGTTTGCATATAATATGCTCAATTTAATTTTATCGAAAGATTGTTATGTTTTATGCCTATCTTTGGTGATGCTAAGGATATATTGCTTGGTGTTGGATGGATAACAATTAATTTACTATTTCCTATTCTGTTGTTTCTGTTGCATGATAAAATTCTTTCCATAAACTTCAAAATTTGGCAATGTATGTGTAGTCAACTGAACATTGAACCTTGGAGTTGAGGACTGGCGAATTGAGTATTATTTAGCAACCAAATGTGTATGACAGACATATTCTGAAGTGGAATATATTTGGCTTTTGCGTGCTGCTATAGTTTTAACGTTATAAATCTTTAAACTTGTGTTGGAGGCGATTGATCATATAATCAATTCTGCTGCAAAGTCCAACTGCATGTCAGTGGGCCAGATATCTGTACCTATTGTATTTAGAGGACCGAATGGTGCTAACGCTGGAGTTGATGTTCAACATTCACAGGTGTCTATGGAACTAGATTCTTCTACAATTTATCATTTCTGTTATTATTGTGCCATACATAGATAGAGCCATTGTTATACTGTTTCATATTAGCATCCGTCATTATGGTAACATAATCAGCTCGGTGTTATGTTCAAAAGGGGTAAAGCTATTAGAAATCAGATATGGACCTGTGAGATATAGCATATTATTTTGTAGTCTTTTTAGAGTCATCATTCCACTTTGCATTTTCAATTGCACCTAGGACCTCAATTACCAAAGTATTTGTTAATAATGATTATTCTGGTTTATGAAGACCTATTAAACGTTTGCTTATCTTTTTTATTTTCTTGGGTAGTTGAATTGTCTTTTTTAGCAAATAAACAAAAAAGGAAGACAAGTGGCTGAGAAGTTGTCACAACAAAGAAGTTTTATTATTTGGCTGCATTAGTTCATTCACCCCTATACTTCTTCATGGTTTGAGAAGAAGTGCTCAAACATATTGGTGCTGGGCTTGCATTTCTTACTGTTGCTATATAAAGTTCGTTGAGTAGTATCTGATTAAGTATATATGCTCTGTAAATTCTTCAATCCTTCTCTTCTAGTTATTATAAAGTGGAAGGTGCAAGGGTCAATGCATAGTTCCTGTGTTAATGTAGCTGGACTTGCTGCTCAATGACGTAGAATTTTCTTGCAATCCTTATTTGTTATGCCACAATTCTTCTGGAAGTCAGGTGTATGTGCATGACTTCACTTAACAGCAATGGCATTTAATATGCAATGTTGAGTGCTTACAATGGGAACCTTACAGTGCTATGCAGCATGGTATGCCTACGTTCCTGGTCTAAAGGTGTTTCAGTCCATATTCTGCTGAAGATGCTCGAGGGTTGCTAAAGGCTGATATCCGGGAGCCTGATCCAGTTGTTTTCCTTGAAAATGAGCTTCTGTATGTAGCAGCCATCAAATTCTCAAATCATGTGATCTGTTAAAGCTTGATACTGAAGACATATTTGCATCTATATTTGGCTTTTCAGATATGGAGAGTCATTTCCTATTTCAGCCGAAGTACTTGATTCCAGTTTCTGCCTTCCAATAGGGAAGGCCAAGGTATGTTTTCTTGATGGTTACATGTATGCTAAAAATTCCATTCTATTTCAGTTAATTTCTGATTCACTTCCATTGACAGATCGAACGAGAAGGAAAATATGTAACAATAACATCATTTTCAAAGATGGTTGGGCATGCTCTGCAGGTGTGTAAAGAATCAGGATATTGGTCTGAATAAGTTGACTGATGGCGTAAATTTTGACTTATTGCTCCCCTCCTCCTTTCTGGCATAAATTTGAGAATCACTGTATTGGGACTTTTCAGCATCTCAACCTTGGCTCTTAGGTCTCTTTCTATCTCTCCTCGCACCACTAATACTAATTGTCTCACCTCATCTAACCATAAGAAGAAATGCATCACTTTTATGCTAGTTTTCACAATCTTTACTGGATGCTTCTGTTTAAACATTCATCTACTTTCTTTGAATGCATATTCAGGTTGCAGAGATACTTTCAAAGGAAGGAATCAGTGCTGAGGTAGATGACATAGTGCGTGCAGTAAAGCGTGCATGCTATCGATCAATCCTGATGGCTGCGACAACTTAGTTCGGTAGACCCCCAACACTGAGAAAATAATCTCCATTCTTTTCATACACAATATGTGACAGCAGATCTGAACTTTTTGCTTCTGCTGAAAGGCTGAAACTACCAACAATGTATGTAGCCATTGTTGATACTGTTCAACAATGAAAAAGTTCAGATCCTTGGAGTTGTTTCCTATTCGATCCTAACTTTTGATGAGAACTCATCATGTATATGTTTTTTTTTTTCTTTAGTATTACCTGTCATCTTAAATGATTAAGGTATCTTGTAAGATTTTTTTGCATTATTTTACCATCCAATTCTTTGTGAGTCGATTATGACAGTGTTGGCAATATGGGTTTGCTAGATGTAATCAAATGTGCAAGATGAATGCAGCATCCACTGCTCTAAGGATATCAACATACTCTGAATGTAGCATTTATTAAGGTCTTTTAGTATGCATCTATGTGTGAAGAGCAACGCTTGAGGGCAGAAACGTCATTTCCAGGCAGACGGGGTTCTGACACCCGAAGTGCCTGCCCTCGGCGCGTCGTGCGCGGCCGTCGCTGTCGCCTACCGTACGACGCCTGCGTACGTTCGTCCCGTCCCGACTCGGGTAACGATTGCACGACGTGGCACTGTCCTATACGGTTGCTTGATGACGGTGATTTAAGTCGGGACATTAAGTGCTCCCCTGCGGAGAGGGATATTTCCGGACAAGCAAATCATCAGCTCCACGTACATAAAACCTCCACTTCACAGCAGCGTCTCACTCTCACTCGGTCTCTCCATGTCAGAGCCAAACACCAACAACAGCTACTACAACTTCCTCATGGTGCCGGCGGAGGCGGCCATAGCAAGGAACATGGTCGGGCCACCGCCGGCGGCAGAGGCCGTCCCTACCAGGACGTTTCCTTGCGCCTACTGCTCCCGACGCTTCAGCACTTCCCAGGCCCTCGGAGGTCACCAGAACGCCCACAAGAAGGAGCGCGCCGCCGCGGCACGCAAGCCCGCACCCGCCGCCGCCTCCTACACCATGTCCGAACTCACACAACGCCCGTCTCCCCTGCCTGTGTTCCTCCAACCCGCCCTGACAAGCCACGGCGGTGGCTTCGCCTACGTCTACGGCCTCGCACCACAACCTCCCGTCGCCACCACCCCGGCCTCCTCCGGCGCCCCTGAGGCCACCACCACCACCACTGACCTCGACCTCTCTCTGCACCTGTAGAGTGAAACCTCACGATAACAGAGAACGAGATTGATAGGAGCACATATTTATAGAGCATGAGTAAGTTTTGAGGGTCATGGCTTCCTTTTGTTCTGCTCTTCTTCTCTAATAGCAAAATAGAAAGATGTCATTTAAATTCTCCGTGGTTACTTAATCCTAAAATCTTTCCAAAACGTATCTCATGGATAGCATTAGCTTTTATTATTATTTTGTGTCATTTTCGATTGCCAAAGATATCTATTCTGGAAAAATGGAATGTTTTCCTCTGTTTTCAGGTAGTTTAAGAGTCTGATATATATGCTTCTAATAATTGAATTATAACACTTCTAAGTACCATCTGCTAACAATGTTTTGCCAAATCTTCATGAAATTTTTGATGCTTTTGAAAACTATGACATTTGTGTTTTAGATTAGAGAAATTATCTTCAAAATTTCAGCAAAACAAATACTCATCTAATTTTGTTCTCTTGAGAAAAATGAGTAGAAGATGGAAGAATTGATGCACTGCCTATTGTTGTCTCCTTTGGCATCACTGTTACTTGTAAGGCATACAGATGCTTCTTGGAGAGCCGAAGGGAGATGACAAATGAAGGAAGGAGGGGTATTTCTGGGCTTTCAAGTTCCCAAATCGTGTCCTCAATTCCACGTCAACAACTCATCGAAGCTCTCTCTCTCTCTCTCTCTCTCGCTCTGTGTCAGAGCCAAACAGCCCAAGCTACCACGATTCCCTGAATTCGCCAAAGGAGGCGCACCAAGCTGGGAAGATGGAGGGGCCACCTCCGCCGCCGGAGGCCGCCCTGCGCTTACTGCTCCCGGCGGGCCCTCGGTGGCCACCGCAACTCCTGTCCACGGATAGCAAGCCTATGCATTCCGCTGCCTCCCATGCGGTAGCCGACCTCACTCTGCGAACGTCTTCCTCGCCTTTGTACTTCGATCCGGTGCTGTTGAGCCATGGCGAAGGCTTTGCCTACTTCTATAGCAGCCGGTGCCGCAGCCACCGCGGACCTCGATTCCTCTCCTCTCTCTCTCCATCTATCCAATGGAATCAATCCCGTTGTTAACATGGAGAATGAGCAGAACAGAAGTGAGTCAGCTGAGCGTCATAGTAAGGTTTAACGACTTCGCTACTGTTCATCAATTCTTCTATTTTATATATATCATAGAATATTTTTTCACATTGAATCAATAATAATAATCATCAATTACTGTTTATTTCAAATATCCACTTTATTTTATTATTAATTTAAGAGTCAAAAGAATCACATCAAAAATCTATAAACCTTAGTTTTTATATAGTTCGACACCTAAATTTCGAGACATCTCTCGTAGCAATCCTAAGACAGATATTGCTCCCAAATTGAGTCATGACAAATGATATCTCACCTAATATTGGATATAGTGAGACGGTGGAATTACTATAAATAATATTCATCTAATAGTTGACACTATTTGAACTCATCTTTGTCGGGATCTGTGTATCAAGAAACGATGAAGAGTGCATGTTTGTCAGATCATAATAGTTCCACAGTCGAGCAGCAACGATGCACTGAGATTTGAGAGTAATTCCAGAGCAGGATATTAAAGGTTTGCTGCTCTCAAACTCGACATGCTGTGGAAACAGTCACAACAAATCATACACTGGTTTAGATAACAGGTAATGAATGAGCTCTTGCATGATGGCTTGTTCTTCTTTTCTCACGCCACTCCAAGATTCTTTGATCGTCCACTTGCACGAGCAGACAAGTCCCACTGCCCTGAAACAACAGAGCAATCATGCATGCAGATGTGTATGACCTCGAGAAGGTGGAAGGAGGACAACACTAGATATCTATGCAGATGTGTTTGACCTGAGACAAGCAAGGCATCAATGCGGAGAGTTGTCCGCCATGGGGTGCTTCGTCGTCGAAGTCTCGTCGTTGAATCGGACTTGCTTGGAGTACAGAATGTTGCACATGTTCCATGTTTCCTGATCCCCAAAACCATCAACATCACACTATCTGTACTTGCTAATGGTAAACAGTGCGACAGTACAGGAAATGAAGTAGTTGCTGCTTGTAATTAACCTGCAGCTGTTGTTCCAGAAGACCACCACTGCATTCCTCATCCAAGTCATGGAGTGTCGGATTGAGCAATGCGAGCCTCATGGAGAGAAACTGCAGGGAGTGTAATGGAAGCTCAGTAGAAAGCTAGCATGGGAATGCATGCAACTGTGGGAGTACCTCAACTTGGTATTGCAAGGATCGCACGTAGTTTGTTATCTCATCCAACACCTGGGCCTTTCCTGTGATCTTGTCATCATGGACAACAAGCAAAGTTCTTGAAGAAGAAGAAGAAGAAGAAGAAGTATGTGCTTCATTTGGTGTAGTTAATGTTACCTTGTCACAGCCTGGGACAAGACTCTGCAAAAGCTTCATCCGCTGACTAATCTTCTCCCTTCTCACCTGATGAGCATTGGAAGAAGAAGGAGAGTGTTATAATCATAGGTAATAACATCTTGGGATCTTGCTATGTCTTGACATGTTAAGAATTATATATACTCTTTCTGCGATGCTGTGGCTGTCCGTTGCTTGGCCTCTTCTGGCTCTCACATGGATGTATCCTGTTGGGGGCTGTGGGATCATTTTTGCTTCCTCTTTCTTCTGTCTCCTACACTTTCTTTTCTTTGGGTCCTTTTGACAAAGAAGAACATGTTAGACGAACAACTACTAAGCACTCATAGCTGACCATCGAACGATAACCTACTGCTACTTCCTTGGACTGATCAGAGCTCAAACTAATGGCATCTCTGTTCTTTGTCTTCTCCAGATGACGCTCCATTTGTGGAACCCCTTCAGCGCTGGTGGAATCAACCACCAATGGGGAAGACAGATCCAAGTTAGCAGTGTCAAGGGAGCTTATTCTGCTCTCAAGGGCTTTGGCTCCGGTTGCTGCAGGAACCTCTGGAGGGGCATTTGCTGAGGGAAGGTAGCAAGACCACATCTCCCTCGGGCTATTTGCAAGTAAAAATTGTGGCTGATGGTATGGAAAGGCTGCCATCTTATTGAAGAGCAGAAGAAGAGAAAGAAAGCAGAACTGTGTCTGGCAACACTCATGTAATGGTTGTTTGGTGAAGGGCCTTATTACATTCGTATAAATAGGAGCTCGAGAGAGAGGCGACAACAGAACGGCTCTCCTTACTAGTGTTGTTTGTATTTCCTCCCTCTCTCTCTCTCTCTCTCTCTCTATTGTAAGGTGGCTTTGTCAGTGTTGCAGAACACTGAAAGTGGGCTACTGAACACTGTTTAGTGTTATGAGTAGCCCTTCTTAACCCCCCCACCAAACACCCCCTCTCTCTCTCTCTCTCTCTCTCTCTCTCGATAACTCTTCTGCACAGCACCCAACTCTGCAAGCCCCAGACTAGCCTTTTAGAAAAGCCAATCGAGTGTGAGTGTTGAGCTCACCGCAGGACACATTCAAACTTAAATAGCACATCATTCGTTACATTATTGAAGCGCTAAATAGCACATCTAGATTTGAATAGATACACCCAAAGCTGACGAAATAGGTGCCTAATTTGGTTGTATATGCTACTTCAGGCCATCAACTTCATATTAGCAAGGAGTATATAATTAGTTTTCCTCAACTGGAGCATGTATTATAGCTGTGGATTGCTGAGATGAGATATCTTCAGCTGGCGAGAACTAGAACAGTGGACAGATGAGGAGGCACTGTACAGTGAACTAATGTAGCTCACCTCCGAGACTGCATTCGAAGACATGATGATGGCAAAGCAACAATCACTCGGAATCTTAGGGAAGCACAGAACCGTCTGCTGCACCTCAACGTGATTTAGCACAGAGCCAAATACGCCAAGTGCAGAAACGATACACACTTTTGAGGCCATGAATCATCTCAAGGAGCTTATAATTGCACGCCCTGTCATCACTGGATGCCTATGCACAGTACCAACAATTAAAACTTTGATACAATGATTAGGTTGCTCCTTGCAACTCAAGATATTATCACTGACGTTTGAGTCTCCATTTTCAATTTAGCTATTAAACCCTTACATCAGGTAATCAACAATACGTTGTTTCCTCATCTTACAACCCTACAGATGAGTATAAAAAGGTATGAAATGTGTGACTAACAATTTACACTACTATCTATTTTTCCTTTCCATGGAAGCGTAGTATTGCTTCAGGCCACATTTACAACAGACATCTAATTCACATCCCTTCAGCCTTTGCAAGCAATACCTGTTTAAGTATAGCAACAGTAGCGTGAAAAGCATTTAGACAACTACTACAACATATGATTTCTAGGAACCTTCATGGTGTTCTTCACACAGGAATAGCTGGGGGCAATTGCTCTGGCAAACCAGTCCGTCCATTTAGAACTGTAACGTTGCCATCAGCATCGACATCTACGATTGCTGAATCTCCCTCCTTTATCTCGCCTGCCAGCATCTTCTCTGCCATGCTGTCTTCCAACAGCCTCATGATGGCCCTTCGCAATGGCCTTGCTCCATAACTCGGGCTGTAACCTTCCTCCACAACCCTGTCTCGGAATCTCTCAGTGACCTGAAGTTCTATGTCCTTCGCTTTGACCCTCTCAAACACCTCCTTCAGCATAATATCTGCAATCTCTCTCACCTCTAACTTTGTCAGTTGACGGAAGACTATCATCTCATCTAGTCGGTTGAGGAACTCAGGTCTAAAATACTGCTTCAGCTCCTCAGTGACGAGGCTCTTGATTCTGTTGTAGCTGCTGTCTTTCTCATCATAGTCCAAATCAAAACCAATTCTCCGACCTCCTTTTTCGATCACACTGCTTCCCACATTAGATGTCATGATAAGGAGGGTGTTCTTGAAATCGACTGTTCGACCCTTGCTATCAGTCAGCCTTCCATCTTCCAAGATCTGAAGCATCATGTTGAAAACATCTGGGTGAGCCTTCTCTATTTCATCATAGAGGACAACCGTGTAGGGTCTGCGTCGAACAGCTTCAGTAAGCTGGCC